CTGTGCAGGAGGCTAAGGCAGGACACTAAAGATTCAGAGCCTGTTTAGACTGCAAGGTAAGTTTAAGGATAGCCTGGCCAAATTAGTGAATTTATATTGCAAGATAATAAAGGAAAAATAAGGCTGGGGATATAGCTCAGTGGCAGAGCACTTTCCTGCAATTCATAAAGTCTTTGGTTCAATCAACGGTACAGTAAAAGAAAAGTCAGTGTAAGCTGGGCGTGATGGCATATGCCTGTAGACCCAACTACTCGGGAGCCATCACTTGGGCTCACAAGTTTAAACCTGGGGAATACATTGAGACTACCTCAAAAACAGAAGCAAGCAATCAGACAAAAATTCTAGGGTCATTTCTACGTACTGACAACAAATTTGCAGAAAACTAAAGAAAATTCCATCCATAAAAGATATAAACAATAAAGGACTTAGGGCATAAACTATACCAGGAAAGTGACACAGTTAAAAAGCAGTGATAAAACAAATTGGAAGAGACACCCCAAGATGGAAGACCATGATCCCATGTCTATGGATTGGCTGAATGAACATTATTATACAAAAGCCTATGCTATCTAAGGTAGTCTGATCAATTCAATATAACTCCTATCAAAATACTAAACGATATTCTTCACAGAGATAGAAATAGAAAAACAAGCATAAAATCTGCACAGAACCATAAAATATCCTTGTGGTGCTGGGACAATCGGAGGGCTCTGTAGTCTCGATGAGCACTCCACCACTGAACTGTGCTCTCACACCACCCCAGCAACTGGGAACAAAAAGAACAAAATGGGAAGAGGTAAAGACCCCATTTCAAATATATACTCGAAAGCCATACCACAGCACTGGTGTAAAACTGATACACAGACTGATAAGACTAAACTGAAAACCTATCAATCAGTCCACAGACACCGTCAACTGAAAAATATGCCATGGGAAAGGACAGTCTGCTAGCTAAATGGTGCCAACAAAATGGACAGCCACATGTAGAAGCATGATACTAGACTCCTGTCTCTTCTCATATATAAAAATTAACTTGAAATGGATCAAAGATCTAAATCTAGGTTCTGAAACCAGGAAACTACTAGAGAAGTAGAGATGCTGTGTGGGCATGGTTCTCGTTATTGATTCCCCAGGAGTACAAGCAATCAAAGAAAAGGCAGACAAATGGAAATATAGCAAAGCAGGAAGCTTGAGGAGTACACAGACAACTTTTAGACAGAACAGGGGCACTAACAAGTCATCCGATGGGACAGAATCCAGACACACATGGAACTTAACTGATAATATCCCTCCCTAGTTCATTCAAGTGAGCAAATGATCCAAATCTAGGGAGTATGACTCAAACCACACACAGAGGTACCATTCCTCCCTGGCCGGTTGTTCAAGAAAAAAGTCCAACAATGCTGACAAAGATGTGAAAGATGGTTAGGAGTGTCAATTAGCACAGCCACTGTGGAGCTGCCCAGCAGAGCCCATTCCATGATACATCCAAAGGAGCCATGCACATGCCCATGCTCAATGCAGCACCGTTTCAGCAGCCAAGACAGGGATAATCTTTTTGTACACTGTGAAGATGTGTCTCTTGCCAAGGCACCTTCTGAATGGTTTAATGAAAAGATGAATGGCAGGAGGCAATAGGCAGGACTTATGGGCAGAGACAGGAACTTTGGAAAAGAGTCAGAGAGACAGGGACTCACCAGTGAGAAGTGGTAAGAAGTGGAGGAAGCTGGATTTATGATACGGAGGAGAGATAATGAGCTATGTGGCAGAACATAGATTAATGTGAACAGGTTAATTTAAATTATAAGAGCTATTTGGGAACAAGCCTAAGCTAAGGCCAAGCTTTCATAATTAATAAAGCCTCGGGAGCGGGTGGGTCAAAGAAAGTCAAACTACAGGTATCAACTGTGGTATCCACTGAAAAAGAATGGGCATGGGCAACGTGGCACACACACCAAATGGAGTCTTTATTAGTGATCCATAAAAAATTAAATTCATTTGTGACAACACAAGGATATTGAGTAAAATACACCAGGGATAGAAACACAAAGGCTGCATGTTCTGTTCTACTGAGAACGACAAAGTGATGGCAAAAACAGATGATCTCACAGAACCTGCGGGAAACAGGCAGTCACTAGAGGATAGAGATGGATAATAGGTGCCACTAGTTAGATGAGAGCTAAGTTCCAGTAGTAGTTTCGTAGGGTGACTAGTTTTCACAATTTATTACAGATTTAAAATACCTACAAAGAAGAAATGATACAGGCTTAAGGAGATGGAATGCTAATTGCCTTGGCTGAGTTGTTACACATTGTATAGGTACATCAAATTATCGTAAAACAAAGCAAAATACTCTTGATCCTTGAAAGGGGCTAAGGCTGACTTATCTCTTTAGAAACTGGCAAACAAAAGGATCATTACTTTGAAAAAAATCCACATGGAATTGGAGAGATGGCTTAGTGGTTAAGGGCACTGCTGCTCTTCCAGAGGTCCCGAATCAGACTCCCAGCAACTGCACAGGTACTCATAAACACCTGTAAGTACAGTCCCAGGGAATCTGGTGCCCTCTCTTGGCCTCCTCAGGTACTACATACAAGTGGTGCATACAAAATAAGATGGGTTGACAAAAAAAAGACCACATATGACTTCAAATCTAGAGACAGAAAGCAGAACAACAGCTACCTGGCTACCTGTAGACGGGGAGGAGTAGGAGCTGAGAGAAACTGAGTGTGGAATGACTGCACACCTGTACACTTTTATTAAAGAATTAAAACGTCTACTTATGATAGACGATCTCAGGGTTATGTGAACTGTGTCCCAATGAAACTCTAAAAAAAGAGGGGGAAATCTAACCTGAAGTTAAAATAAAAACCCAAGAGTAGAGCTAAAGTTATTCTCAGAAGAGCACATGGCTTTATACTGTTAGAAAACTAAAAAGGAGAACTCAGTATTTGACTTAGTAAACAAAAGGATAAAAAATAGGCTAGTTAGAATAATGGTGGGGTGAGGGAGTACTGAACAGAAGCAGAAGAAGAGAGATATGGAAGAGAGGAAAAGATCTACTCAGAACCCCACAAGCTGTTACAGAGTGACAGTGCGTGGACCCACTACAGAGAAGACACAGATTATCACAAAGTGCTTCGCCAAGCCGAGCCTACTTCATGAGCACACGGGTCAGCCACATTTGACTATTTCTGAAACCCAGGCACATCAGTCCCTGTTATGATGGCAGGAGAGCGGTACATGGAAACCTGAGGGCTGCCTTCGGGAAAGACCCCTGAGTCCTTGTGTCAGTACACCTCGGGTCTGATAAGAGGATGCTATAGAAAAAGAACTGGTGTAAGGAGAAAAGGTGGAGACAGAGGTGGAGAACAACAGGCAGAGACAGAGAGAGCAGTGGGCCAAGAGATGCCTCGCACAGCACAGAGACTCCCTGAAAGGTATAAAGCTTCTAAGATGAAATCACAGTCCAGCCTATGCTGCGTCCTTCCTGGGCTCTGACCTGCGTGTGAACCGTGTGAACATGCCCCGATGACAGTGAGCACTAGGGACCAGCTGAGCCTTAAAGCAAGGCTCAGCACAGTTATCCTGAGCTTTTCTCAACCCAGATGCCACATCTCTCTGATTCTACTGAGGCAATGTACAGAGGAGTCACGTATCAGTCACTCACTGTCTCACCACCCAGACACGGGGATCCAAAGAGCAAGGGACCTTTGCTTGGTACCATGCCCCTCAGAACACGCCCTGTGTCCAGAGGTGGTCCAACTACCTGCTGGCAAATGGAGGGAAAGCCTTTACCTTCCCCTCCCCCAGGCACATCCGCACGGAGCTCTGGGAATACAGCTCTAAAGGTCAACTTCCTGCTCTCCACATACTCAGTCAAGATTAATTATAAAAAGATGAATCATTACAAATTTCAGGTATGACAGACGTCTAATAGCTACTTCACACAGTGGTCTTAGATCTCAGAACATGTAAAGAGTATCAGAGGATCACATCTTTGATGTGGGAGTGTCATATATCAATCTGTTGATTTCATTGGCTGAGCAATAAAGAAACTGCTTGGCTTAGCTTAGAGCATAGATGGGAGGAGGAAACAGAATAGAATTCTGGGCGGAAGAGGAAGTGAGGTCAGACTCTGCCCTGCTTCCAGAGGGACCGGACAGCCGCCATGCTCTGCTCTCCCAGGCAGCTGCAACCCACGATGGACTTAGGCTAGAATCTTCCCGGTAAGCGCACCTTGGGGTGCTTACACAGATTATTAGTAATGGGCTAGTCCAGGTGCAAGAATTAGCCTGTAGGGGCTAGAGTTCATGGGCCAAGCAGTTCTTAAATGAATATAGTTTGTGTGTTGTTATTTCGGGCATGAGCTAGCCAAGCGGCCGGGGTGTTGGGGACGCAGCCCCGCCGCTCTTATTTCAACACATCTTACTATAGGTTCCTTGACCATTTTCTTTGACAAGGTCGTAAGTACCCCAACACCGAGCCATCCTGGAGGAAAACCTAAGAGTTTAATGTTCCTCTGGTAGAAAGAGGGGGCTGTGCCACTGAGAGCAGTTCCAAGCGAAAGGCCCTACTCTCTGGCCGGTCTCAGGCAAAGGATCCAGGTGTCCACAAAAGTTTGCAAAACACTGAGCTGGTTGTCTGCCTTGACTTTTGTGATTACCTTCTGAAGGCTGGAGTTCTAAGACAAGCCGGAGAATTATGTGAAAAAAAAAAATGGCTGGCTTACTTAGAGTTAGGAAGAAGTTCTCCTTATTGTCTTAGTGTAGTGTACTTCTAACACATGTAGCTATTAGAGTTTTATCCCAAAAGCTCTGGAATTAAAAATATTAGTTCAGGAAAGTTAAGTGACCTTTAAACCAAGGAAAACCTGAACCAGGAAGAACAAACAACAAACAAACAAACACAAACCTGATCCCTAAGGAGCCAGCAAGGCTCTGAAACAGCTTTCCTTCCCAGTAACCAACTTTCTACTCTGAGAAGACAAATGGGATTACCTTTTAAAGACGGGAGTTTTTGCAGTTCTCTGTTATTGCTGGCGTTAAAGCGTGAAGAATTCTGCCGTTTGTCTTTCTTCACGGGGACGACAACAGGCTGAGGGACTGGGGCTTTTATTTTTGCGGATGTCGAAGACTGGACGGCCACCAGGCTGTTTTTCCTGCTGGCTATCTGCTTTTAAAACAAAAGAAATCAAAACGTAAAACGGATTGTTTAAGATGACCACTAAATCAGCACAAGTGAAATAAAGGAAACACACGCGGGTGTGGGGCAGTGTCCTGTACACCCCTTAACTGGAGCTGCTGGGGGTTGAGGCTTATGTTCTGTCCTCGGCGATCCTGGACTGCAAGGGCCACAGGCTACTATGTCCCCTGTAGACCTCTGATTTCTTTGGTAGTTGCCTGTTTGGGAACAGTCCTACTCTATAGCTCAGGCTGGTGTTGAATGTACTGTATAACAAGGCTGATCTCCAACTAGTGGTGATCCTTCTGTTTCAGCCTCTTGAGTGCTGAAATTACAAGCGTAGGCCACCTGCCTGGTTGGCTTCTAAAATATTACCACAATGTGGTAAGCTAGGTAATGACTGCCACAAAAATGGTCACATCCTATAACCTGGAATGCATGACTATGTCACCTTGCTTGGCAAATGAACTAAGGTCACCAGAGAGGGACAGGATACAAGAATATCAAGATGGCCAAAGTCAGCAGAAAGATCCTCACGAGGGAGGTAAGATGGTGGAACGGGAAGGCGAGGAGATAGTGGAAGCTGAAGTCCAAGAGTCAGAGAGACTCAAAGCTCACTGTGGCTTGAAGACAGAGGAGGGGCAGACACATCACCCTGCCACACCTCTCTTGGGTCCTGTGCTCAATCTCTGTCCTCTAGAACTGTAAGATGTGAGAGCATCTGCTCCTACGATCACTGAACAAAAGTAACAGGGAGAACAGAGCCAAACACCTCCTGTGACAGCAGGTTCTCCAAGTTCACTATTCTGTCTGCTGCATACAGAATAGTTCTTTCCTTAGCCTAGAACTATTCATCTTTGCTCCTTGGGCCCCCAGCTAACAGGCACATCTCTGATGGTATGATGATCCTCAGGGCTAGCCAAGCTCCTTGAGGCCAGTTTCAACATGTCCAGTGGGATATTCCTGAAGAATGGAGACTCTGAGAGAATACACAGCAGAGCCACTAGAGACCCTTGACATCCACACAGGTTCAGTGGACGTCTCCCCATAGGAATCCTGGGGAGCTATGTGGACTCTTGGCCCCCAGTCAGAGGAATCTCTGTGCATGACCAGCTGATGTGACACACTGTGGTTTCCTGCTACCATGTGGACAATGGTGGAAATGACAGCCATCATCTCCAACAGTGAAGGGAAGATGCACACAGCATGCCCGCTGCACCCTGTCTTCCCAAACACTGGCACTCGTGTCTATACAGATGCACTTTCAAATGGCCACTAGTGGGGTTGAAGACACGGCTCACTGGGTCTGCTGCCTAAGCATGAGGATGCCAGTTCAGACTTCCCAGAACCTCTGGAAAAGCTGTGTGTGCTATCTGTAACTCCAGTGCTGGTGGGGAGCAGGGGTGGAAATGGGTAGACTGGATCCCTAGGGCTCACTGGTGGGCTGACTATGTGAAAGAGTGAGCTGTAGGTTCAGTGAGAGACCCTGTCTTAAAACATAAGGTAAAAAGTGATCATAAAGTCAACCTCTGGCCTCCACATATACACACACACATGCACAGATAAGGACATCCATACACACATATGTGTATCTTCCCTCCCCATACATATACATGCTGAAAAGTCAACAAGCTTCAACCTGGAGATACAAAATTCCTTAGCCCCTTCCCATGACCACACAGGGCCATGGAGACCAGCCACACCAACACAAGCCCCAACTTATCGCTGTCCTTGAATGCATGTTTGCTAAGCGTAATATGGGCCTGCTTTGTTTTTAATAAGCTGCCTACAAACAGAAAGGGTGCTCCAAAATGAGACTGCCCAGAGCAGCAGCAGTGGTTCTGACCCAAGAGTGGGGGCCGGGTACCTTCTCACAGGCTGGGGTCAGAATGTACTTTCTTGGACTCTGATCTTGATGTCTGTTATAATCTGATCTTGATCCGTGGGGTGATGGTATAGAAGTGACATGGACCTTTAAAAGGTGGGGCCTAACAGGAAGTCCTATGTCACTGGGGGCTCTTTCTGCTGCTGGATTGAAACGAGGCAAGTTTCACACTCCACCCATTGCCACTTGCTGTTCTGTCCTCAGCACAACTGAGCCACCTCCAGAGTTGTGAGCGCAATAAACATTTTCCTTTAGAAGTAGCTATGCCTGTCATTGGTTACTGTGACAGACAACTTATAAAGAATCTCTCATTCTTACCATCTGGCACAAAGAGCATGAAAAGGCCACTTACAGTCTGGTGAGATGGATCAGCGGGTAAAGGTGTCTGCCACCACGCTTGATGATCCAAGTTTAATCCCTGGAGCCCACATAGTGGAAGGGGAGAACCAACTCCCACAGGTTGTCCCCTGTAACATCCCATGTTTATGTGTACACACACACACGCACACACATAAATGAATACAGTATCAAAATTAAAAACAAAGTGCCATCTACAACTCGCCTCTTCCATGGAGCCCTCCTCCCAACTTAAAACTTACCAGCTCGCCTTTCCTGGTATGCTCCTTCAAAAGCTGCAAAGATGGCTTCGTAGTTAAAAGAACTTGCTACGCTTACATAGGACATGGGTTTGGTTTCTAGAACATACATAGGGCAGCTCACAAAGTCTGGAATTTTAGCAGCAGGGGATCCAATGCCTTTGGCCTCCAAGAGCACCTACACTCGCAGTCACACACACACTGTAAAATAATAACATAATTTAAAAGCTCTAGAATTTACTCCACAACCTCAAGGACATGCCCACAGGGTGTTCCTTGCTGTACACACCACTAAGCTCCCACACACACACTACAGATTGTTATAGCTCCCATCTCCCTTCACTGTCTCCAAGTCCACTGCAGGACCATATATACAAGGACCTTGACAGACACGATGGTAAAACAACAAACACAACAGCTCCAAGGCCACTTCATACAGCAGGGAAACAAGCTGTGCATCTTACATAACCAAGTAAAGACTAGGGGTGATCTGGTTAACCCGCAAAACAGAATCAAATCAAATCCAGAGGCCACCCTTGCTGGGAAACAAGCTAAGGTAAGGTTTCCAATGTCTGAAGAAATAAGGATGTTACAACTTCTGCAGACACCAAGCCATCAGCTCCCAACCCTGCTGACTTTGCCTCCCTCTGGGCCTTTCCAGAGCTATCACCCATGGGGAGGCAGAACTTCCAGAGAGAAAGTCTGGCTGCTGCTCCATGTTTATCCATCGTGGCAGTTTCTTCTAGTTTCATGGTGGTTACATGTCTCCTTCCAGGCCTGGCCCCACCACCATGTCCCCTCCTGCAGCTACTCCAGGCCTTTCCCTTTGCCGTGCTCTTTCCTCCCCATGGACCTGCACAGACTCCATGCCATGTCATGTTATGCTCTGAGCACATTGAGACTTTACACTCTGTCAACTGTAAGGGAACACATCTTTCTCCCTGGAGGACAGGGCCTGTCCGCTCACGGTCAGTTTTGTGGGGCTCTCAGGAGTCACTGATGGAGGAGAGTCATCTGTCTATATGTTACTTTCATTGGTTAATAAAGAAACTGCCTTGGCCTTTAATAGGACAGAAAATTAGGTAGGCGGAGTAGGCAGAACAGAATGCTGGGAAAAAGAAGCCAAGTCAGGCAGTCGCCATGATTCTCCCATTCCAGACAGATGCAGGTTAAGATCTTTCCTGGTAAGCCAGCTCATGGTGCTATATAAAATATTAGAAATGGGTTAGATCAATATGTAAGAGCCAGCCAATAAGGGGTTAAAACTAACGGGCCAAGCAGTGTTTAAAAGAATACAGTTTCCGTGTAATTATTTTGGGTAAAGCTAGCCTTGGGGGTGTAGGGATAAGTCCCGTCCCTTAGGGGGCATGTTCGCCTCGGGCTAATGTTAGCCTATAAATTTGGCGAGCATGCTCCCAGACGCTGCTTCTGCTTTCCTGGTCTCCGCAGGAACGGTGGTTCTGTAAGTCTATTCCTCCATTAAAGCTGTATATATTTTTACAATCTGTCTGCATTCGCTTATGCCATTACATTTTGGCGCCCAACATGGGGCTTGAACCCATGACCCTGAGATTAAGAGTCTCATGCTCTACCGACTGAGCTAGCCGGGCGACCAGGAGCCGGGGTGCTGGGGATGCGGCTCCGCCGCTCCAATTACAACATGGGGGCGGCCGGGTGCCAGGAATGGCAGCCTGCCACTCCTAATACAACAAGTCACCAGCCAGGAAGGGCTTTTCTGAAGTAAGGAGCTCACCTCCACTCCCCACCCTCTGCCATGGCCTTGGCATGGTGTTGGGTCATTCACACAGAGGGAGGCAGGTACACAGAAGGTGCCATCCAGGGCAGTGAGCGGAACAACTGCCCAGGTGAGAACTGACCTTCTGTAAGAGAACTACAAATGAGGCGAAGGGGTGTGGTGTGGCAGTGATGGGAAGGTCTCCCTTTCTAATGGGCACTTTGGCTCTGTGGGCTCTGACCTTGGGAAGGCTTTGCCTTGAAGTATAAACAAGATATTCAGAGATTGGCTTGGGCAGGGAGCAGCAGCTAAATGTAGACAACTAAGTATCAGACACTCTGCAAAATCATTAGGGTTGGAGGACAAGCCAAGAGTGTGGGATGGGACTGGAGAAGAGACTCTGGGAGCTGTCTCCTTTCTGACTGAGGTAGACAGGGGAACTGAGTGGCAAGCAGCCCGTAAGACAAAGCAGTAAGTTCAATGTGACTGAGGTGACTGGGCACTGTCTGAGGTCCCATGTGGGGATGCAGTACACTTGGATGAACAGGCCACAGTTACGTATCCCTGCTTCTTCTAGAATGTATTCTATTTTCTTAAGAATAAGACTCAGCAGCTAGATTCATTTTCTTGTAGTCTTGGCCATTGGCTATCCATCCTACCCTGCCCATGAGACAAAATCTCACTCACCTTTCTCACTGTGTCCTGGTGCTCAGGACAGTGCTGTTGGACATCCACTAGACACTTGGGAAGGCCACTGGAACTGGTCATGTGATAT